GCTAGCTTGTATTTTGGAAACATAAGGGTTAACATGCAACCATAGTTAGTTGATAAATGCCTCAGCTTTGCGCCATTCAAACAGACAATTCTAAGAGGGTCTATTAGAATCGATTCCTCATTGATTACTGTAGCTTTTTCTCATTCCTCACTCCCGCTTCCTGAAACTACTGCCTGATAAACTACCTGCACCCAAGTCCTTCCCTCATTTTTTCTTTTGGGACAAACCAAAATAAGTCATTCTCCTTTGATTGTGTTGGAAACAAATTGTAAACACCCTGGTAACAAAAGGATTTATTATCTGAAAGTTAAATTCACTCACTTTCCTAGCAGAGAGATCAGTACTTTAAATTTTTCATTTAGTGCCCTGACTAGAACTATATATACTTGGTTAGTGTAAAATATTAAGATCAGAATAGGTGAAAGGCAAGCTTTATATTTAAAATGGGAGGAGTGATTGTGAAATTGTGAGAAATAAGACTGTATGAAGCTTCTACAACATATGTGTTCTTAGGCACAGGATATTTAGGAAAACATATATATAGTAAGTTGAGGATCTGGAAATTAAACTATTTATGTTTATGTACCTCTTAGAAAGTCTTCAGGTACTCCCAGGGATATATGAAACCTAGTTTGAGGATTAATTCTCTAGAATACTATGAGTGTGTACACCAAAACCAAACCAAAACAAAACAAAACTAATCACAGGGTACTTTGGGTATAAAGAAGAAATTTAACTTACTCCATGTCCTAAGAAAAGTTTTTGATTATGGTAAGGAACACAAAAGCACAGAAATAATCAATATTCATATTCAGCTAACATTTATTGCATGCTTTTTATGTTCTAGGGATTGTTTTCCAACTTTTATACTCATTATCTCATTAAAATCACACAGTAATTATTCTCTGGGGTAGGAATTATAAGAATTACCATTCTAATTTGAACTGAAATTATGTGACTTGCCAAATTCACCTGGTCGATTAATGGAAGAATCGAGTTCCTATCTAGATCTTCTGATTTAAAGTCTCATATCCTTTCAAAGATATTACAAGATGATTGACAAAGAAATCTAAGTAGAAGTTGAACAGAAATATAAGGCTTTCCATCTCCCACCACAGAACACACATGTTTAGTATTACATTGATTGAAGTTTTCCCTAACACTAATTTCTACCACCACAAAACACCAGGCAAAATTAGGTGTCTCTTTCTTTGTATTGTTGTGACAACTGGTACATATACTGATAAGACATTTATTGCATTTTATGGTGGTTATCTTCTTACATGCCTGCCTCCCCTACCAGACTGTCATTTGAGGGAAGAGACTGTGTCTGAATTATCTTCATAATATCTTCATAATCCAGTATCAAATGAAGTGTCTAATATAGAGGAGGTTTTCAGTGACTACTTTTCAAATGAATGATTACACAAATGAGAGAATAAAAAGGGTGGCCATTTCACCCATATCACATTAAACTAGATTATTCCACACTTCTTCTGGGTCTGCTGCCAAAAACTTTTAAAGAAATTTCAAACTTTCCCAGGGCTTTCCAGAGAGCATTTTTCATTTCTTTATTTCTGAGACTGTAAATCAAAGGGTTGAAGAGTGGAGTTACCATTGCGTAGAACAAAGTCATGATCTTTGGCATCAGGGTAGAGTGGCTGGATCCAGGGCTCACATGCATCACCGTTATTGTCCCATAGAACAGCAACATCACAGACAGATGGGACCCACATGTTGAAAAGGCCTTATTCCAACTGGATGCTGATGGCAACCGAAGCACAGCAAGTAGAACCAGGGCATAGGAGATGAGGATGAAAAAGAAGCTCAGAAGGATGATGAGGGAGCTTAGGGTATAGCTGATGAGCTTAGACATGGGGGCAGGAGCACATGAAAGGGTCAGTAATGGGCCTGAGTCACATACGAAATGATCAATTGTATTAGGACCACAGAAAGGCAGTTTGGAGATGAGAATAACAGGTACCATATACCAGAGAAAGCCACATACCCAACAGGAAATCGCTAGGTTGAACCAACGTTGTCCTGTCATAACTGTGGCATAATGCAGAGGATGACAGATGGCAAAATAGCGATCAAAGGCCACTGCTGAGAGAAAGAAGCACTCAGTAGAGCCTATGGAAAAGAAAAAATATAATTGAAGGAAGCATCCAGTGAAAGAGATAGCTTTGGTCTCTGAGAGGAAGATGATCAGTGTGTTTGGAACAGTGGAATTGACATACCAGATCTCCAGGAATGCAAAATTCCCCAGTAGGATGTACATGGGTGTGTGGAGATGCTGGTCCCAACACACAGCACCAATAATGGCTCCATTTCCCATGAGAGTCAGGAGGTAGACGATTGAGAAGAACATAAACAAGACAACCTGAATTTCCCTGCTGCAGGGGAAACCCAGAAGGATGAATTCCCTCACTGACTCAGAAGAGGATCTGTTCCACTAAGAGATTATGCTGAGTGAAATAAGTCAAGCAGAGAGAGTCAATTATCATATGGTTTCACTTATTTGTGGAGCATAACAAATAGCATGGAGGACATGGGGAGTTAGGAGAAGGCAGTTCGGGGAAATTGGAAGGGGAGGTGAACAATGAGAGACTATGGACTCTGAAAAACAATCTGAAGGGTTTGAAGAGGTGGGGGTGGTGGGAGGTTGGGGGAACCAGGTGGTGGGTATTAGAGAGGGCACGGACTGCATGGAGCACTGGGTGTGGTGCAAAAACAATGAATACTGTTATGCTGAAGATAAATTAAAAAAATGATTAAAAAAAAAAAAAAGAAGAGGGTCCATTGCCAGACATGTTCATTTAGGACGTAAGCTATGTTGCAATGAGACATCACAATGAGACCAAATCCTAACAACTGAGCATAACAGACAAGGTCCTTCATGATCTGATTTTTCTCTACTTATTTAAGCTCATGGCTTTCCTGTGCTCCTTTGAGTTCTAGGCCCAATAGGAAAAGAAGAGTTGTACTTCCACCAAATGACATGCTGTTCTCCCTACCTGAGGTGTCTGTTTCTTCTTCCTCCTTTCCTTCTCTCTTACTCTTTTTGCCCATCCCTTCTGAATTTCTTCCTTCCTCTATTTCCTTCTTTTTACTTACTATTATTATTATTTGGCCTGGGTAACTTGTACTTGCACTTTACAAATATTGGCTAGTTGCCTCCTTCATGAAGTATTGCTGGACTCCACCATCATGTACTAATTGTTTTGCCATAGCATCCAGTGTATGTATATGTGAATTTCTACTATGCCCTATCATAACAAGTTGCTTTTCTATCTCTTAATCTGTAAGCTTCATGAGGCAGAGGTTGTATTTTTAGTTTCTATATCATCAATGCCTAGCACAGCACAGTCTCCTTCATAGGTATGCCAACATATTTGCTGAATCAACATTAAACAAAGGACACCTTATTTTTTAAAGCTAGAATGAATGAGAAGTAACATTTGGAAAGCTGTAGTAGTTTTCTGCACTAAATAATTTACCCTTTACATCTTGTATCATGGATATCTTTTTACATGTCTTTTAATTTACTGGACTATCAATCTCTGAGAATAGAGACCAAGTGTTAATCATTTTTTATTCATTTTCAGTATCTAATACATTATCTTTTAGGGAATATTTACTATGTAATTGTTAAATGAATAAATCATTATACCCTCAGTTGAATCTTAATTCAGTTTTCTATCTAGAAGCCTTAATCATTTGACATATGTAAGGAAAGGACCATGCCGTTGGACCTTGAAGCTGGGAGGGAAGTGGTGTGGCCAAATGAGAGTAAGGGCATGTTGAAAAGAGGGGGTGATAGACTAATATGGTAGTTAGAGTAACCAAATGTACCTTTTGTCTGGGACTGACCCAAATTTAGCACTGAAAGACTTGTAATTCAGGAAACCCATTAGGCCCAGGGAAACAGAGATGAATTGTTCATTGCCCTATATGAGGTCCTGAAGTTGAGCTAGCCTACCTGAAAAATGTTATATGCCCTGTTTCCTTTGGATCCTATTGAGGTCTATTTGTTTCAGTTGTCCAAGGAAATGTTGTCTGTATGACCGATGAAAGTACTGTGAAGATACCTGGGAACTGCAACAAGGAGCTTCCCAAATTGCTTTCCCAGGACTGCTTGATGTCCTGTGCAGTCTGAATACCCTAGTTGTCAACTGAGGCTGCATGGCCAAGGTCATAGGGTGGGTAGATATAGTCCCGATACTTTCCCTTCCCTAAGACCAAATTACTCAGTAAAGCAGCCCTTCTGGATCCAGAAGTGTTTCTTTGAGAAGCTCTGTGACTCTTTTTTCAACTAACCCTTTGGATAGTTGCTACTTCAATTCAAATTTCTCTAAAGGCATTATTAGAAGAAAATACTCCATGAAGCCCAAGAAGAAACACAACTGGAGGAAGCAGCCAATGAGACAGGTTGACTTAGTATTTAAGAAGAAATAGGACTTGGTATTCTGATCTAGATTGAGTTGGTTATTTTCCAAAATATTTAATGCTCTGGTTTCTGATTGTCAATCTAATAAAGAAAATCTATAGCAAGGGAAAAGAAAGGCCTAAAAAAGTTTAATCTGGTTTCTTCACTTAAGGTAAAGAAAAATGAGAGACTCTGGACTCTGAAAAACAATCTGAAGGGTTTGAAGAGGTGGGGGGGGGTGGGAGGTTGGGGGAACCAGGTGGTGGGTATTGGAGAGGGCACGGATTGCATGGAGCACTGGGTGTGGTACAAAAACAATGAATACTGTTATGCTGAAAATAAATTAAAAAAATGATTAAAAAAAAAAGGAAATACTTTGTTTTTCCTAAAGAGTCTTCTGGTGTTGGTATTGAGTATATTTATGTCTGACACGTCCTTCAGAACCCTTAATTTCTCCATGCCATTATCTTGGTTTGGCCAGGTTTTCTGCTTGGGTCTCCTTCTCTCAGCTTGCAGTGACATCATGGGTTTTATTTTTACCAGATAAAACCATTACTGTGATTCTCCTAGTCGTGGCTACTCACAAGTTAAACCATTATATATATATATATATATATATATATATATATATATATATATGTAAAAATAAAACATAAGGAGCCAACATTCTTTTATTTTTTAAATGCATTCATGAAGCATCTCAAAACTAACTTGCTTTTCCTAATTTCATTTCCTGCTAAGAGTTTCTAGTGGATAGTATTTGTGTATTGTAGCTTTTGTCTTCAATTCTATGTCTCTTTGGGACCCTGTAGTGATGTGTAGATATGGCTTCTAAAATGGAATTGGGGAAACAATAGGCTTGGTCCTATTTAACATTATCTTCTGTGGGTTCTTCATCATAACTGGACTCTTATTTTCACAAGAGCATATTTTAACTTAATTAGAGTTTGAAAAAGCTAGAAAAATTAATATTTTAGAAAACAGATTCATCTGTACTTACCTCAGTTTCCCAGGAATTGAAACTATGTGGATTTTGTCTTTCAGATCTTCCTTCAAGAACAACAGAAAATTAGGGTTATTTCTCTAGAAAAAAAAAAAAAAAAGAGTAGGGACATGATGCTTTTTATGCATACCTGGGAGCTATACCTGGGAGGAATGGGTCAGCTGTATCCTTTCTTCTCAGTCTCAGTCTCAAAAGTATGGATTTCAGGACCTTCACTGAAAAACAAACTCCCTTTTGTACAATTAACTGTGCAGTGACTGCCAGAAGCTTGTTAGGGGAAATGCCCAAAGATAATGCATGTGAGATGTTGGAAGTTGTTTCCAATTTTTAACTGGCAGGAAAGGATTCAAGTAACACCTGTATAAAATGTTTAAACCAGAAATGGGGTTCTGGAGAGGACTCTGTTCTTCATATATTTTTGGTATGTTATCCAGAGATTGGCCCCCTGTGTATTTAAAGAAGTGGCTCCTCACTTCAGTAGTCCTTTGGGCAGGCTAGTCTCTCAGGCCAGCATCTACCTTTACCTTCTGTGATTAAGTGCCTTCAGGAAAGGAACTAGGAAGAAGAATAAGCACTTGTGAGAAATAAGTATGTGGTTTTGTCATCTGAATTCATAGCTAATTATGAATTGTCCTTTACTCTGTAAAACCAAGGTTCCTCTAGGGAAAGAAGACAGCCATGTAGTCAATCCCTAGAGAGATGTAGAAAAAAATTTCTGGTTTGTGAGAAACTAAAAATAGACAATTTAAAGATTATGACACTTTTGTTTCTAGTGCATGAAAAAATCCCATTATAGTACATTTTTGGTTTTCTTCAGCACCAGTGGTCTAATTAGCTTTGGGTTTTTAAAAATTTTTTTTAAAAAGGTATTTATTTATTTAAGAGAGAGAGAGAGAACACAAGCTGGGAGTAGGGCAGAGGGAGAGGGAGAAGTAGGCTCCCCATTGAGCAAGGAACCTGATGTGGTCCTTGATCCTGGGAGTCCAGGATCATGACCTGAGCTGACAGCAGAGGCTCAGTTGATTGAGCTACCTGGGCACCCCTATTTCTATTTCTATTAGCTTTGTACTGTCATAACATAAAGAGTTCTCTTAAGAGTCTTGCAAATATTTCCATTATTTTTCTAAGCTTTAGTGTGTACATGTATTTTTTTGAAAGTTATCTTTTTTTGAAGAGTTTAAGGAGTACATATAATCATTAGAAAAACATTTCTTTAAGATATCACCATCTTGGCGCACCTGGGTGGCTCAGTGGGTTAAGCCTCTGCCTTTGGCTCAGGTCATGATCTTAGGGTCCTGGGATCAAGCCCTGCATTGTGCTCTCTGCTCAGCGGGGAGCCTGCTTTCCCCCCTCTCTCTGCCAGCCTCTCTGCCTACTTGTGATATCTCTCTGTCAAATAAATAAATAAAATCTTAAGAAAAGATATCACCATCTTGAATGACTTTTTAAATTTATTTTTTATTTTTTTTTATAAACATATATTACTAGCCCCAGGGGTACAGGTCTGTGAATTGCCAGGTTTACACACTTCACAGCACTCACCATAGCACATACCCTCCCCAATGTCCATAACCCCACCACCCTCTCCCTACCCTCCTCCCCCCGGCCACCCTCAGTTTGTTTTGTGACATTAAGAGTCTCTTATGGTTTGTCTCTCTCCTGATCCCATCTTCTTTCATTTATTCTTTTCCTACCCCTCAAGCCCCCCATGTTGCATCTCCACTTCCTCACATCAGGGAGATCATATGATAGTTGTCTTTCTCCAATTGACTTATTTCACTAAGCATAATACCCTCTAGGCCATCCACGTCATCACAAATGGCAAGATTTTGTTTCTTTTGATGGCTTCATAGTATTCCATTGTATATATATACCACATCTTCTTTATCCATTCATTTGTTGATGGACATCTAGGTTCTTTCCATAGTTTGACTATTGTAGACATTGCTGCTATAAACATTTGGGTGCACGTGCCCCTTCGGATCACTACGTTTGTAGCTTCAGGGTAAATATCCAGAAGATACAATTGCTCGGTCGTAAGGTAGCTTTATTTTCAACTTTTTGAGGAACTTCCATGCTGTTTTCCAGAGTGGTTGCACCAGCTTGCATTCTAACCAACAGTGTAGGAGGGTTCCCCGTTCTCCACATCCTCACCAGCATCTGTCATTTCCTGACTTGTTAATTTTAGCCATTGAATGACTTTTTGAGGAATTTCTGGAGGCAGGCATAGTAATACAGAATAATAAAATGTCCATTCCCATTTGGCATTTGAGCAAAAAGAATAATTGAAATATAAAGGATTTACAGATCATTATCATGCAATGTGGGGATCTCCATGCATCAGCAGTCAGTTTGAGGTAGTAGAACCATAATATGTATATGGTGACTGGGAATAGAGGTACAAAAGGTAGAGTGAACAAGAACCAAGATGCATTTCCCCACTTAATAATATTTTTGTCTAGGATCAGTTCTTTCTATCTTAATGTCATCTGTGGTAGGCATACCATAGGGTCCCAACTATTGGCTTTTGTACAAACCCAAATGGAAATAAGACACATTGTAATGAAGTGAAGAAAGATTTTCCAAATTTTGTGTACAATATGGTAGGGAATTTCCCATTGCGAAATGCTTTTATGGGCATAAAGTTTGCAAAGATCTTTTCCCTTCTGTTTCACAAATTGGAAATTCACTGAAATTTTCTTCTGCTTTCATGGACAGTAACACTTGGCATGTAGATTTGTTTTCTATGGTATTTAGATTCACTTTTTGCTGACACATTCCCTTTTTTGCTGCTTGGGGAAGCTACTGTTCCTCACCACCAGAGTTAGCAAGAAGTAGGCATTTCTTCTCCATACCAGTTAGGGGTCAGGATGCTTTTTGTTTTGTTTTGTTTTGTTTTGTTTTTTAACATCATCCCTCCCAACCCTCCCAACCCTGACAAACCAGAGAGAGGTAAGAACATTAATGCATTTTTTTAAGGAAGTCTAGACATCACTTATCTTACTGACTTTTCTTTAGGAAGGTAGTGAGAGCTCCTTCCATCATGGGAATTGATTTAAAGTTCTCTGTGGTTTTACACCTTCATCCACTGACACCAGGTAGATGTGTCAACATTCTGATTAATGGATATGGGAATTTTTTTTTTGAGAAAATATAACTATCCAGAAATAAAAAAAATATAATAATGGAAATTAAAAACTCATTGGACTGGTTTAATAGTGGACGGGAGAGCTCATAGAAGAATAAATTAGCTAGAAACTACATCAGAAGACTTTGGACATTAATGCATTGTGAATAGACAAAAAGAGAAAAATGGAAGAGAAGTTAAATGTGGAAGTCTAATATTAGTTTCATTGGAAATCCTGAAGACAGGAAGAGTCAAGTGATATTTAAAGATATAATAGGGGAGACAAGATGGCGGGGAAGTAGGAGGAGGCGCCTTTTCAACCTGTACCCTAAAGTGAGCTGATTACCTACCAAAGAACTCCAATCACCCATGAAATCAGCCTGAGATCAGAATTATACACGTCTGGATCTCTACAGGGGCAGAACATGCCAGTGGGAAGGTAAAGCAGAGTGGGAACGTCGGACTGATATTGGAAGGTAAACAAAAGTGGGAGGGAGCCACCTGAGGCGACCGATTGGAAAGTAATATCCCTAATATGAGAGTGCCCTGCCTCTGGGGAACAGCATTAACTTGGAGATTGGTTGAAAGCACTCCAAAAGAGCAAAGGATTGCGGGGGGGGAAATTGTGGGAATCGGGGCAGCTAGGGACAGGGGCTTAAGTCCCTGGACCCAGGACAGCCTCCCCTGGCACTGAGCCAGAGAGAGTGGGGTGGAGAAACCAGGTCTTGGTCCCTGAGCTGCCAGCACGCCCGAAATTGCGTGGGATCTGGCTCCTGTGAGCGGCTGGGAGCCACGCCAGACTGCAGAATGCCAAGCCCTGCTACAGAGCCTAAGACACGCACACCCCTCATCCTCCCCTGAGAGAGGTGTACAAAGGTCTACCAGGTGGTCTTAGACCCACGCCATTTTTTCAGAGCCTGAGACGTGCGCCCCAAACTCTCCCCTGAGAGAGGTGCTCAAAGGCCCAGCCTGGTGCTTTTGGACCTGTGCCCTGCTGTCAGAGCCTGAGACACGCGCGTGACTGGCAGCCTCCCCTGAGAGAGGTGCATGCAAGTCAGGCGCTCTTAGACCCAGAAAGACCAGGCACTCCCAGCCTGGGCCAGCGGGGAAATCTCAGTGTGTGATCACTGCTTGGAATCTCTCTAGCGATCTGGAGCTGTCCAGACAGCCGCTGCTGCCATGGTTTTGGGTACAAGCAGAAGATCCTGCATCCCCAGGGACCACGACTCGGAACCAGCTCTGCCAGCGGCCAAGGGGGAATTTATATGGGCTCTGCAGCCAGACTGAGGCTTCTCTCTGAGAGGGAGGTCAGGGTGCAGTTTGCTTTCCTCTAAATCTACAAAAACAATCAAAGGTGGTCAAGGAGAGAGAAAATAAAAAAAAGTGAACAAA